AAAAAAAAAAAAATAAGTTACTTATAAGAATAAATTAATAAGCATTAAGGTAAAATGTGTTTAAAAGACAGAGAAAAAGAGCTACAGCTACAAAGGAGTGGGAAATGACAAAGGAGAAGATTGTGATCCAGTTAATGCGTAGTTTATATGAAGTGGGCTATGGCATTTATTAAAAGCACTCCTCTCTGTTGATTCACTCCTCTCTGTTAATTCTTCCTGATCAGAATCACCCTCCTAGACCGACCTGTAATAATATATTTTCAAAAATAACATTTTTGAAGCAGAAACGGAATTTCAGAAAGTAAAAAAGAACAAAATAATACTAGTAATAATTAAGTTTTATATATCTAGAAATGTTCAAGCATTTTAAGTGGCCGTTCTGACATTTATCAGCTTTATGATATCTAAAAAACCATTTCCTTATAGTTAAAATAATGCAAATACTGACCAGTAATATTAGGAATATGGAGATCTGAAATTAATTTATAGAGATCAGAATGTGGATATGGATACAGTATATAGGATATATCCAGAATATTTGTAAACTGGAAAGAATTTCAGTAGTTCTTCATGTGCTGTAAATACAATCAAATACATATAAAATGATCCGCATATGTCTCTCATATTAAACAAACCAAAAACAGGTAATTTCATGCCCCTTGAAAATATCTTTGTGAAATGGAAAATTCAGAGGTTCTCCGTTTTCAGGTTCTCTGAAAACCTGCTTCATGAAACAGACCCCTGGTCTTGGTTCAGTCTCTCCAAATATACACCCCCTCTGCAGTCACTCGGTGCTGGTTTGTTGTTGTTTTTTTTGCTTCTTCATCTCTGACTCCGAACATGAGTTTTCTTTGATGCTTACTGATTTTTTTGGTTCTTCGTATTTTTGGTGTTTTGGATTTGACTTCAGTTGCCTCATTAAATCTGCCTTACCTCTGCCTCCTGGTCTCTGCATTTGGGTCCTCAAAAGCCTCCACTAAACCGTGACAAAACCCTTGGATCATAATTCAAAAATTAGCTATTAGAATCGTAAATTAAGCAAATTATAGAGAGCATACAAATCAACTTTTTGTTAAATAAAAAAAAAATTAACATTTAAAAACTTGATTGACTTAAAACTGCTCAAATCATATACAAAGTAAATAATATTTTGTTGCCATTACATATTTAGGGTCTGTTTTTGATCAGGGACAGTGCTTATGATCTTAGAGGGTACAAAATATTGATAAAACAAGAAAAAATGTAAAACAGCACTATATCTTTTGTTGGGGTTCATGTTTGGAAAAACTAGATCAGGAGCTAAAGCCTCTACAACAATAATAAGTTTTAAAACATATCTAAGAATAATGGGATTTAACATTATGAATCATGTGAATGCAACTAAAAGCAGTAAGATATTGAATGTATTAACTTTTTTCAAGCGTTATAATTGTAGAATCATTTATTTCTTTCTAATCATATTTTGGTAGTTTTTATAAAAGGTATCCCCGTTTTCCTTTTTTTAGGTAAAAATTCAAATTCCATCTCTTATTGCTTCTGCCAATACAACCTTTTAAGACATTTTTTATTTATTTATTTATGCTACAATGACATATACTGTCATTTATTGCATACTTTCACAATTTGTCTGAATTAAAAAAAACAACAACATTTATTTATTCACATTTGCGAACCCTTGTCGGTAGGAGCTGTCACTTGTACGCTCTGATTTGTTCAAGCCAGATTATCTGTTAAGTTAAAATCTTTTGTAGGTGCTGAAAATACGGGTCACACAAAGATACTGATATAAAATAATTGAGCTGCTCAGGTCTGGGAGGATTTCAACATGAACCAATCTTTATTCCACTGTCTTGGCTGTATTTCCATCACTCTACTGAACCAATTTAGTAACCATAACCAAGTTTTATCTTATATTTTTTCCTTAATAGCAGTGCAGTAACTGCTTGAGTTGTTTAGTAGTGTTTCTTTAGCTTTTCAACAACACACAATCTTGAGAGTATTTATAAATTGATAAAATGCCACAGAAAACATTCCCTTCTTTTTTTCCACCTGCCCTCTAAGGCATGACGGCCTAATAATTCCGATAATTCTGTCCAGTACTGAACAAAACAAGCCAATTCCCCAAAGAGCTGCATCATCTGAACATGGTGAACTGAGTCATTATGGCTCAGCGTGCTGTATCCATCATGGTGAGACTCTTCCATCTATCCCCTTTTTTAACACAATGGCTCCTCTGTCTCCCTCTGAGCTTTGTGAAATATAAACAGACAGTCACAAAATGCTTTTCTATCAATCCTTAGAGACACACTTCCTCCTACCATTTCATCCCCTCTCCCGCCTCCTCTCTGTTAATATATTCTTTTGCTTTGTGCTTTCATTTCACGCTTCCTCCATCTTTTCCTGCTCTCTTCTACTTTTCTTTCCCTTTCTTCCTGTTTGCCATCAGCTTGGCTTCTCCATCTGTGGGAGGTGTGCTTTTGGAATTACCCCTGAGATGCACACTGTCTGCGACCTTCATGAATCACAATCTCTTGTACTTCTTTCATTTTCTCCCGTTCTTGTCCTTTGTGATTTTCCTTTATATTCCCAAATCTTTATGTGGGGCATCCCTTCTTCTCCTCTCCTAGACCATTCCGAACTCTCTCCATTTTTATCCCTGTTCATTGTCCAGCTTGCCTCTTTTTTGTCTCCCTCAGCCTCTCTGGCTCTTTCATCCTTCCGCTTTGTGTCTCATTTACAAAATGTTTTCGTAATCAGCATATTGCTTATCTGAATATTTGTGTAATATCTACTGCTGGTACAAAATAGGCTATTGTTTCTTCAATTACCCTTTCTGAGGAAATTGCAGAATAAAATCCAGAATGAAGGGTATCTATGTAGCTGTGGTTGAACGTGTGGTTGCTACCTCCTCATTTCAGTGAGTCACCCTCTAAATGTTTCTCCTCTCATTTAACTCAAGGAAAGCAAAGCGCAGCTTCCGAGGAGCTGACGGTTGGCTCAACCAGTCTTTGCTCTCCAAACACACACAGAAATACACACCACTGTCATTCTGCAATGTTATTTGTCTATACCTATGAAGCACAAAAATGTATATATATTTTTTATATTCCCTCTGGAGCTACTTGAAAAACATTATCTGGCATAAAGAGGAAGTGGAAAAAAGAAATTAAGGTTATAATCTCACAAAAGAGCTGGGAGGAAATTTGTCAATTGCAGTGGGTGTCGACCAGCTCAAACACATGGTGGGAGTTCTGCTGGAAAAACATTGTACGATTTTTTGTTACACCCATTCAGGGACGATATTAAAACAACGGGGACGCCTGCTGGAGACTCTGTGGGCCAAAAACATATTGAAAATATATTCAATGTAAGTATTCCATTAAAATGTGAAACATTGTATCTGGGCAATCTACAATTGGACACATGGACTAATAAAGACAAAAAACTGCTGGCTACACTACTGGCTGCCAGTAAGAAGGCCATCACAAGGAAATGGATGAAACCAGACCCACCCACTATTGATGAATGGATTGAAATTGTTTACTAGGTTTATATGATGGAAAGGATCTGTTTTTCCCTCCAATTAGAAACAGAAAATTTTTATAAGATTTAGTCCAAATGGACTGAGTATATGAAACCAATTAGATCCGACTTCATTTGATTGTTATTCTGAAATATGTCTTGCCCTCTTATGTCTTTGCGGTTTTTATTACTTGAGGTAGTACAATGCCCATTACTGTTTAATTCTGTTCATTTTTGTTACCTTTTACAATTAAGCAATTAAGTTAGTGATATTCGGTAAAAAATACCAGAAAGGCAACATAGACAAAATCACTTGGACTTTCTGTTAATATCCTCGGTTAAAATCTTAAATGGATGAAGCTGTGATTACTGATGTAATGGAAATCTGTCTTTCTAAATAAATAAAAAAGAAAAAAAAAAGAAAAACATTATCTGGGTATGCAAAGAAAAACCATGTACTAATTCCCAGTTTGGATTCTCAAACACAGACAGGCTCTGACACGTTTGAGACAGTGCTGCGTCCCTAAAACCTCTATTTTGGCAATGCCTCCTGCAACACTGGGACGTATAAATACACACCAAAACACTTTCTGCCATATTTACCGGGACTTTCTGTTAACTTCCGTTCATTTCTAATTCATTTGTATGATCTAATCCAGACCCTTACCCTGGCTTTAACCATTACCAATACATCCCTAACCTTGAACCTAAGCTAAACATAATCCACACCTTAGTCCCTTGCCCAAAGAATAGGGGACCTAGACTTACAGTACCTGTACTTGTGAGTCCCCACAATGTAGTGTGTTCCTTGGAAATTGTCCCAAAGGTAATACATACATGGCCACATCCAAACACACATTTTGCCACACAATAATTTTGATGACTTTCCCTTGACTTCCTTTGCTATTGCATTCATTTCTATGGCCTAACCCTAACCATCACATGCGTAAGCCTAAACCTAATCTGAGCTCGATTTCACCTTAGTCCTAAACCTGACCCCCACTCCAAGAAGAGAATTATCCTCATGGTGACTCATCAATGGTCCCCACAAGTGCTTTCAAGTCTCCAAAATTTACCATATTTCTGGGAAATTGTCCCTACATTGTTACAAAAACATGGCCACCAACACAAGACATGAATCCAAAAGCACACCCATATACAGAAACCCAAGTAAATTCTCTGCAGGTGTCTTTTCCTGCAAATCTCTAAGTAAAAACAATTTCTGGTAGGCACGGAGGCAAGCAGGAGAAGTAGGTGGGGGGAGTGAGTTTGTGCGCGTGAGTGTTTTCTTATTTGTGCCGAACGCAGAGTCCCTGCAGGGGCTAGAGCTGTGCTTAAGGGTGTAAGCACTACTCAGAGTTTTGAAACACGCAGCCAAAGGGGGGTAAGATGAAGATGAAAAAGATGGTAATGGTACATAACAGGGAGTCTGAGTGATGAAAAGCTACTTGCAGGGAGGAGGAAGCTTTGTCCCTTACCTGCCAGAAGATATTGTCAATGGTGTTGCCCAGGAACCCTTCTCTGTTTTCAGACGACAGCAGCTTAGGCCCTAGTATCGTCATGAACTCCTCAAAATCAACCTGGCCGTCCCCTGCAGGACAGGCACACAGATAGATTGCTTTATCACTAAAAACAGCAACACAACTTGTTTTACTGATTTTACATTTGAATGAATAACTAAGATAAAAAAAAAACACATTATTGTTTGTGACACTAAATTCAACATTTAGTCTTTTTTTAACCAAACCTGTCTTTATTCAGACAAGGATCTTTGAGGGAATATTTCGCAAATGTAAAATCGCAGGAAGTGACTGGTAAATGTTTACATCATGTATTCTGCTGCTATGTGTGGTTATTGGTACAGATAAACAGCTGTATAACTGCCTTACAGCAACTTGTAAACAGTATCTCCCACATGCTGGTTTATATTATAAAAATTAACCTAAACGTTTTCAATTTACTTCACTGAGGTATATTAAGTAGCACAATAAAACCTTTGCAGTAACGTAAGTGCAATAAACGCTGTTAATTGTCTTGCAAAAGTCTCCATACCTATTTTTTAAAGAAAAAAGTAAACAAAACACCAAAGAAATGTTCATAACTTTTGTATAAAGAATGACGACCATCTGCGGAGTCGTTCTCTGGGATTTTATGTTATAGCCCAACACAAATTAGTGCATAATTGTAAAGTGGATGAAAAGGGATACTGGGTTTTAGAAAGAACTGAGTTAATACATTAAGGAGCAAACTTTGAATTCAACTCTTATATTAAAAGTTCACTGCAAGTTTTTTGAGGGGCGTATATTTTTACCAGATTTGCCGATATATATAGACTAAAATGTTTGCCCTTTCTTTCTTACCATATTCCTTAACCTCATTTATGTTTTCATTTTTCATTTCAAATTCAGATTAACCTGGAACAGAAAAGTCTTGTTGGAGTAAGCACTGGGCCATTCTTAAATATAAATATGTGCTATGGTTGGACATTCCATTATCACTAGTTGTATGTTTAGGGTTTTTGTCTCCTGTCTCATTCACATTTTGCAGCTTCTGACAGGTTGCAACATTGCTCACCATTAGAAAGTAAGAAGGTAAATAAGAATGATTAAAAAAAAAAACTCTAACCATCCATTTTAAAAGAATATCAACCAAATAAGATGCAGGTCCCGCTGAGCCTGGCTCTGCTGGCTTTTCTTGCTATTACAGAGGAGTCTTTCCTCACCACTGTCGCTTGATGCATTGTGTGAATTTCTCTGTTAACAGGCATCCCTGTTTCTGATATGGGGATTGTTTTTGTCTTTATTAATTTTGGGGTGGATGTAGAGATGTCGGTGTTTGACTGGTGAGGCTTAGCTGGTAGGTTCTAATTTGTTAAACCTGTGTTTATTATGTATATATTCATGTATACTTATTATATAGTCAATGCCATGTCTGTATTAACAGTGTTGGGGGTTTGTTTTGATTTTGTTTTTCCAGTTGTTTACCTGGCCAGTGCTAGTTAAGTTGGCCAAGCACGTTGTGTGAAGCTTGTTAAAAAAAAATGCAAAGACAGTAACCAGAGTCCGAGTTTGAGGGAGACACTGTTTTCATTACTTTCATTACCGACTTCTTGTGGTGGAGAAACTAAAGGGTGTTGTTTTAATAAAACCACACATGCATGCTTGATGTGAGAGATTTCTGGAGAATCAACCACACAATGAACGCTAACGTCCTCTGCTACTAAACGCTCTTCCTGCAAAGTTAGTGACTCAATGCAATGAGCTGAGTTTCCTTCAGATAGAAAATCTCTGTCTCATTCTGTCTGTATAATCTGATTAAATTGTCTCTATAAAGTGACTTGAAATGACGTGTTGGGAATTTGGGCTGTATAAATAAACGGAACTAAATTACATTGAACTAAAACACATAAAGATATACATGTACTTTTGTAATGCAATGTAAACTACTTTATCAGGTATCTACAGTACAGTATATATATATTTGATCCTAAAGGAACTCTAATTAGGTATGTTTTTTGACAAACACAGTCTGATGATAGACAGTAATTCTATATATGTTCTCTCTAACTAACTAGGAGTCGTTATTTTGGCCACATCTAAGGTCTACTTTGAACACAGATTTCAAAGGGACTGGATCTTGCCTTGGGTTGTTGCCCAGATATTCAGTCTCTACTGGAAAACTTGAGGAAAGATGAAAAATGACAGAAGATTACAGACCTGTGTCTTACAAAGTTGTTCAGTGTCTATCACTGCATAGATGGATCTGATCCCTAACAAAATGATGCTCTAAATGGACATGACTTCATCTTATGTAGGATTAATTTAGCTTTATTGAAGGAGAGTTCAAGATATGCCATTAAATCTACACATTATTAATAACATGAAATAGATATAAAAAGCAGTTCTTTTGTGTCGACTTTGAAAGTCAGAGCTTTTAAGAGATAGAATCACACCTTAGGACAAATGGTAGTACAGCTTTCAGGTTGTCGGTTACTCACAGAAGCAAAAGCAAAAAGCTTTTAGCTTTGACCTTTGATATTTATGGCATGCTGTGAAATCAAGAGCCAAGAGCAGTCAGAAACTGCTGAAAGATGGAACGGATTGTTTCTGATGCAAGTTCCGCCTTGGAGTAATTGCAGTCTGACACAGATTTACAAGAGCAGCTTGACTTTAAAGTATGAGGAGTAGAGAGGTCCTGTTCTTTTTGTCTTAGGCTACATTTGTTAAGCTTGAGGTCATTTACAAAGTATTTAAGAGAAAAGGTTCTGAGGGAAACACATTAAATCCAAATTTGGACCTGAAACAAGTAAAAGTGGGATTCAAATTCAAATTCAATACTCCATGCCTCTGCTTGAGGAGAATACTTATATTTATTAAAGCTTCCACTTTCATTTGTTTCCATTTTAATTTTAATAAAAAGACAAAGAAAAAACAGGTGCACATTTATATGTTCAGTAACAACACATTAACTCCAGATCACCATGTTTTGCATGCTCTGCACACGCCCCCAAGTGTGTGCCCTTATGTAGTGTCTCACCATCCATGTCCAGTCTCTGCATAATGATGGCCAGCTCCACTTCGCTGGGCATGTAACCTAGGGAGCGCATGGCCATGCCCAGCTCCTGCTTAGAGATGAAGCCATTCCCATCTCGGTCCAAAACTCGAAAGGCCTCACGGATCTCTGCACAGCAAAAACAAAATATGTCACTGCAAAGGACTGACTGTCCCTGTGCCTCTTTTAATTTTTAAACACTTTGGAAAATACACAATATCAAATTTAGGATGAAAGTTTCATAGATGAAAAGAGCAAATTCACTGCTACTACTGTGATGGAGCAGCTGCTCTTATTGGTCCTGGTGTGAAAGTGTCTGGTTAATGAGATAGGATGCCAAAATGAAAGTGTCTGGTTAATGAGATAGGATGCCAAAATTATAAGGTGTTTGGGTTGATGTAATTTTTGCTAATTTGTTTGTGTATGAATTTATTTGGTAATTTGGTCTGGTTGCAACAAATTTTTTATCCAACATTAATTAAGTCCAAGAATCTAGACCTCTAGTTTTATTTTAAAGTCTAAGGCTTTTCTGAGAGTTACTCATTTTATTTTGATATTTTTAAAAATCCAACGGTCTTAAAATTGTTACTATTCAAAATGGTTTCAATTATCTTTTTTCCATTTAATAAACTCTGATACTAAATGTTTGATTGGGAAAACAATATCATCTAGGAGAGTTAGATAGATAGAATGTGCATCTCTTTTTCACATGTCTAAAGAATGTGGTTGGAAAGCATAGAATAGAAATTTCTTCTTAAAGTCAGCCTATTATGGCACGGCCATGTTTCCAACTGTGCTTTAATTAGTTAATTAAAA